CTATTTTTAATTTGAATTCATGCATGCACATGTGATCACTATCTGCAATGACGGACAATGCAGCTCTAGACCAACCACTAAAATATTAATACTAATGCTATGCAGTATGGCCAATATAGGATCTAAAGTTTAATGCCAAAAATATTTTATTAAACCAAAATAAAGCAGTAAACGAGGAACAAAAAAAATGAATAGGAGGTGTGGAAAACAAATAGCAAAAGGGTAGGCTTAAACCCAACCATAATGATGATTATATTACATGTAAATGGAATAAATAAGTAAAAGGCTAAACCTGTAACCCTGGAGAAAAATATTAATATTAAGGGTGAAATATTTAACACTCTCTCTCTAAGGTGAGGTACCAGACAAGGATGTTAGCTCTCACCATTTCTATTTAACATCATAGTGGGTTCTTAGCCAGAGACATAGACAAACAAGAGAAGGAAAGGCACAGAGTCTAAAAGGAGAGAAGTTTATTCCATGTTTATTTTCAGATCACATGATTGTTTGCACAGGAAACTACAGGACAAATACTGGAACAAATAATGGCATTTATCAAGATGAGGACAACAGTGAAACATGTGAAAATTAATCATATTTCTGTAGATCACCCATGAACAATTGGAAGGCAATTAGTTTTAAACACCTCAACAACATTGGAGAATCACTGCACTGAAAATACAAACATTACTCTGAGTATGAATAATCATAGAACATGTGAACAGAGAGGGAGACCATGAAGATTGGGAATCTCAAAGTTGCCACGACGTTGAACCCCCACACTGAGGCACAGATGCAGCACAGCTCGGTCAATATCCACGCGATTCAAAGCAGTGTCCATTTTTACAGGAACCGATGAGAAGGTTCTAAAATACAGGTGACAATGCAGAGGACCTAGGGGAGCCGAAACAGTCTCCATAGGCAAGAACAGAGTTGGAGACGCACAGCGTCTGACTTCAGGATATAAATCCAGAGTCACCAGGGCACCATGGTAGTGTTGGAGCAGACCTGGTCTCCCAGCCTTGGAGAACAGCTGTTTTGGGGATGCTGTCTGTGCACTGTAGGGCCTTTCAGTGTCAGCTCTGGCCTCTCCCCACTGGACGCCATGCACCCGTCCCCTAAGTTGTGACAACCCACCATGTCTCCAGGCATTGCTGGACATATCTGGAGACATCATCGGCCCAGTTAAGAGCTGCTCAAATAGACGAAGCAGCTCATTGTGACGGAACAGAGACTGCGGCCATCACCGGTCTTACATTCTGCCCATCAGAAGACGTGATTCTTGCCCATCAAGAAAACGAAAAGGCGAGCTGTAGAATAAGGGAAAGTATTCAAAATGCGTATCTGGCAAAGGAAGCAGAATGTGTTAATAGAAAGAGCTTCTACAGAACAAAATATAAAGACAGATAACCCCCAATAGGGAAGGGGAACAAAGGTTGAAATGTCACTTCACAAACAAGACATGCAAACGTCCAGGGAGTAACATCTTCAGTCACCCAGGGAGTGGAAACCAAAGCTTGGCGGAGATCACACTTCGCTCCCACAGAGCGACCACGGGCAGGATGCCCAGGCAAGGTGCCCGCACGGGAGCGGTATGGGGCTGCGGGAAGCCCACAGAGAGTGTGCATTTCACTGTCGATCAGTTTGTCTCGATTAATAAAAATGTAATGGGCATTTATTTTTTTGTTTCATGATTTTTACTTTAGAAAGAAAAATAATTTTCTTTTTGGTGTATTTTTCTGGGTTTGTTCTTTTAAAAACAATTAAACAGTTTAAATGTTTTGTCCAAACAAAATTTTTCCCAGGAAAACAGATTCCCGACCTGATCAGCCTCCGTCCCAGGCACTCATCCCAGTTGTGGTCTGAGGCTCCTCTACCAAACCCCAAAATTCAGAGCCACAACTCTGTGTCTTCTTGCCCAGTGCAGCCTGCCAGGGACAAGTTAAACATGACATTTGTGAACACTGAGTGCTTCCCATGTGCCAGACATGGCTCTAAATGTATTACAGATAATATTCCTACTTCACATCCACAGAACTCTGAGTTCAGTCCTAGCACAACCACCCTCACTTTCTGGATGCCCAAAGAGATGAAATAATTTGCCCAAAATGACACCGTTGGCAAGCGGCTGAGCCGGGACCTGAACACAGGTGCCTCGCGGCCAAAGTCAACAAACAGCTCTGGGACAATTTGCAAATGGAAGGAAAAGGGTAGAATATCAGGAAACCTGTTATTGTCTGTCCTGTCTGCTGTGATGTTACTTTCTTACACTGACAACTTTCCAAAGGAAGTGTCTGGTCTCATCTGAGCACGGATGGTCATCCGATGTGAGCAACGTGTGAAAGGCAAAAACTGAAACAGAAATATTTTCATGGTATTTTAGAAAACTGTGTACAGGGTTTCCCTCTACAATGTCCTGTGCTATCCTCAGGTGTATGGCAAAGTGTCTCCCATCTCTGGGGGGCGGAGCAGGAACTACTGCCCGGAGGGGATAGTCCTGGGGGCCAAAAGGCAGTGCCACACAGCCTGGGTCTTCCCAGTGGGTATTTCAGAGATGAGCGGAGAATCCTCGGATCAAGAGGTCCCCAGCACTGCCTCGTTGCTTGGCGGGTATGGACCACGCTCCGGATCTCGACTGGGCCTCCCAGCCTCAGCTCCTGGTTTCCAGTCTCTAGACTGGGATTTATTAGGATTGCTGCTGTCTCAGATGCTCTCGTGGAAAATGCTAAACCTTTAAAATAATAATTTTTTAAAGTCTCTATTAAGTCTAGTGAGGCTGAGATTTGGATTTTTTTTTTTTAACTATTTAAAACTTGTGTCGTGATAGAGGACTGGACCTTGTGGACTGTCATCGGGTTCTGTGACTCGGCAGCTGTGATCTTGGGGCGAGCTCTGCCAGCCCTCACCTGGCACCACCCACTGCGCACCAGGTCTCTGCAGACCTGCTTTGTAGGATCGTGGTGGAGGTCAAATGGGTTAGGACAATGCAGGTTCCCAGGGGAGTCTCTGGCATGATAGCGCAGAGCAAACGCTCACTGTTGTGAGTCCGTGTTAAAAAAAAAAGAAATCATTAGCTTTCTGCAGTGGTGACGTTTACCCAATTTTGAAATAAAGAGAATCATGGAAGGTGAGAGTGTGTACCTGGAGCAGGTGTGAGTGCCGCCCTCCCCCAGACCCTCCCTCGGCCACAGCTGGGGCCCTGAGGCTGTCACCGCAGCCACCACCGGGCGCTGGGCAGACAACAAACACCGGAACAGAGAGGACACGAGCTCTTCCAGTCGGTCCCCTCGGTCTGAGAGGCAACGTTAATTTGAGAATTAAAATGACGGCATGGTTTTATTCAGGAGGGAAAGCCATTATGCCGGAAGAAAAGCGCTAATTGGTAGAAACGCAGGGCGTGAACCAGCAGTCTCAAGGAAACACAGAGGAGAGGAGAGATGCAGGAAGTTTGCATTTCTGCAAAGACAAAACTGAGTCAGGTCCACAGCCTGAGTTAGGACCCAGGGTGTCCACATGAGGCCACGTCAGAGCTCGGGCGCGTTCCCCAGCATGTGTGTGTATGAAACACACACAGTCACATCCGTGCATACACACGTGTGTGCGAGGGAAGCAAACCTTGCTGGGCCACTTGGGATGAGTCCATTTATCAAGGTCAACTTGAACCCCAAACTCCAGACAGCCTCACGGTGTCGCTGACATCTGCTGCTCCACTGAACCTGCTCTGCTCAGGTGGGGGCAGCCAGGTGGTCAGGTGTGTGTGTGTGCGCTATACCAACAGCTGGTGCAGGACAGGTCCCCAAACCTGCTCCGGAGCTGCCTTCCTGACCACGCCAGGGAGCAGTGGGAATGGGGAGAGACACCCCGCTTCTACACGACCAAGTTAATGGAGACTCAAAACTGATTTATTCCCTTCCGCTTTCTCTCTCTCCTCTCCCTCTTTCTCTCTGTGTGTGTCTCTCTCTCTCAGACTGTGTTATACACTGTCTTTTACAGCAAAAATGTTTAGCAGAAAGAATGACTTTAAATCTATAATCAATGAGCTTCACTTAATAAGAATGTATAGAGTCCAAGTTTTTCTCTGATGTCCCATTTTTAAAGAAAAAAGTAAATGACAGAGAAAATTCACACCAAGAGTTTACTTTGCGGAGAAAGGACACACTTCAACACCTGACTGTGGAGTCAGGATTGGCCACCTACTGTTTACACACATTTTTATACACGGGCTTGTGCAATGTTCTAATGTATTTAATGTCCCAATGATGGTCCAAATCAGGAAAGAAGAATGATTAATCATTTCTGTCCACATTAGTCTAGTTTTGATTTTTTTAAAGAAATGGATTTTCATTGCACTGTGGAAAGATTGTCAATAAAACTTGAAAGGGATCCAATTAGCCAGAAATTTTAGCTAAGCTGGACTGTCCCTGCTCTTAGAACTTTATAAAACAGCAAGACAGAGACCAGAGAACATGGGTCTCTAAGTGAGTTTGGAAGAAAATGATCAAAGAAATGATTTGGTTTCTCCATCTACTTTTAGTTGCCTGTGTTGCATAATCTGGACAGCTTTGCCTAAGTTAAAACTGAAAGTGAACCTTTTCCCTTTTTCTTTTATTTTTCTGAGTGTGTAAAGTTGCCAAAAAGCTGACGAGATATTTATGAGGCTCTTGGAGCTCGAGGCTTAAATTCAGGAGCTGTGTTCCCCACCACGCATGCGAGTTACTGCAGCCCTCGGCACTTTCTTAATGTGGAATGGTCCTAATTTCACCACCTGGCCATAAAACTCAGGCTTCAGAGGCAATTTTGCAAATAGCCTATCCTATTACTTTTGATGAAATTCGCATTTGTAAATGCGAACCTGAGAAGATGCACGTGAGGCAGAGGTACCCTCAGACAAGCAGCACTGAGCGGGCAGCCCCGCAGCCTCTCAGCATGGGCCGGCGTGACCATGCCGGTCTCCCGGTGCAGGCTCACGGAACACCTTTCTCATTTCTCTTTTCCTGTAGCCAGAGCTACCTGCAAGCTGCAAGTGACATGCCCGTCGGTCACAGCCTGGACCCCACCGCCAACTACAACTCCCCGAAATTTCGCTCCCGGAACCAGAGCTACATGAGGGCCGTCAGCACCCTGAGCCAGGCCAGCTGTGTGAGCCAGGTGGGGGTCCCCTCTGTCCCCCCCCCAGGGCCCAGTCTGCAGAGCCAGGTGGGGGTCCCCTCTGTCCCCTCCCAGGGCCCAGGCTGCAGAGCCAGGTGGGGGTCCCCTCTGTCCCCTCCCAGGGCCCAGGCTGCAGAGCCAGGTGGGGGTCCCCTCTGTCCCCTCCCAGGGCCCAGGCTGCAGAGCCAGGTGGGGGTCCCCTCTGTCCCCTCCCAGGGCCCAGGCTGCAGAGCCAGGTGGGGGTCCCCTCTGTCCCCTCCCAGGGCCCTTGCTGCTGGGGAGAAACGAGCCCTAGTCGGCATCTCTTACATGTAGACCAGAGCATGGAGGAAGCTCCTGCCTGGTGTTAGCTTGACTAATTGAAAATCCATAAACTTTAAAGGTTAATTTTTTTGACGTTTATGACTCTATACCATTTCTACATTGAGTTCTTCTGAGTAAGCAATGACTGGTAAACTGGTCATCTTGGTCTCTGTCCTTGATCAGGCGCAGGTCGTCTGCCTTTTACCAGGGACTTTGCTCCAATGAAACAGGGCCAGGGAAGGGCTCTGCCTGCCAGGCTTTCAGCCCTGTCCTTGGGACAATGCTGTGCAAGGTCCCCGGGGGGGACGGACGTTGGCCGTGGTGCCTATTAACACCTGAGAGCCCCATTCCTCAGGCTTACTCCAGGGCAGGACCTACATCTGGAGGCACCAGGGCCCCAAGTAGGGTCCAGTGTGCCCTGGAGCTGCCATGCTCTAACAAGGCCCTAGGACAGAGCGGCTCCAAAGGGAAGGGACCCTGCACCCCACCCCGGGGACAGCAAGAGAATGCGCGATGACAGAGTGAGCAGGCCCTGTGCATTCCGGTCACCCGGCACTGCAGGACAAAAATGAGTAGGATTTCAAACTTTTAATTAAGCATATTGCTTACTTATTTTAACTGCCTGTGGAAACGGCGCTTGAACTCACCTTGAGTTTGGAACGTGATGTTTTCCTTGACTTCCTGCGCAGGAGCAATTGTGGATTGTGCTAATCCGGCACAGGCTGCCCCCACCGCGCACGCAGCACGTCAGAGTCAGTGTCTGGTGGAGGGGGAGGAAAATAGCATCTGATTTTGAAGAAACACAGGGCAAAGGCAGAGAAGTGAGAGTGTGCTGGCAGAACTTGCAGACGGTGCTTGGGTGCAAACGGGCGCGGCTGCGGTGGGAGCCCAGGCAGGAGCAGCGCAGGGCGGGACAGGGCTCTGCCTGGAGGAGTGGCCGCCCAGGGGGCCGCAGGTGCTGGAGCTCAAGGCAGGTGGAATGGGAGGCAGAGCAGCGCGTTGGAGCTCAGAAGAGAGCGCGAGTGCGAGTGGGTGGGGATGGCTGTTCTGTTCTGTGAGTCTCCAGTGCCTGACTCTGGGAGGGGCAGGGTTGGAGGGTGAGTGCTGGGCCCTGGAAGGCCATGCCAGGTGTCTGTACTCAGCTCAGACACTGATGTCAGGACAGTCCCAACAGGCACGTGACAGGACTCTGCCCACCAGAGAAAGGACAGACTGAGTATGAAGGGGCATGTGACAGGACTCCACCCACCACACAGAGGACAGACTGAGTGTGAAGGGGCAGGTGAGAGGACTCTGCCCACCAGACAGAGGACAGGCTGAGTGTGAAGGGGCAGGTGACAGGACTCTGCCCACCAGACAGAGGACAGGCTGAGTGTGAAGGGCAGTACGAGGACTCTGCCCACCAAAGAGGACAAGCTGATGTGAAGGGGCAGGTGACAGGACTCCACCCACCACACAGAGACAGACTGAGTGTGAAGGGCAGGTGAGAGGACTCTGCCACCAGACAGAGGACAGGCTGAGTGTGAAGGGGCAGGTGACAGGACTCTGCCCACCAGACAGAGGACAGGCTGAGTGTGAAGGGGCAGGTGACAGGACTCTGCCCACCAGACAGAGGACAGGCTGAGTGTGAAGGGGCAGGTGACAGGACTCTACCCACCAGAGGACAGGCTGAATGTGAAGGGGCAGGTGACAGGACTCCATCCACCAGACAGAGGACAGGCTGAGTGTGAAGGGCAGGTGACAGGACTCTGCCCACCAGAGGACAGGCTGAGTGTGAAGGGGCAGGTGACATGACTCCGCCCACCAGAGGACAGGCTGAGTGTGAAGGGGCAGGTGGCCGAGCCCCACTAGGGCTGTCCCAGGGGGTACAGGCTGTCCAGGAGCTGGGCCCTTGCTCATGTGCATAGTGAGCAAGCATCCCATGTGCACATGTGTGTTCACTCATGTAAGACACGCCCCAGGGGGCTGCCCAGAGTCTACGGGTAACCGAGGTCGCGGGGCTCCAGTTACCAAAATTCCTGTCAACAAGATAGGGGGTCACTCGGGCCTGTGAGCTCCCACGCCTGTTACCGGCCTGGTCTCAGGTTTTCATTCTTAGAATTCTCATTCATCCACCCACCAGTCTCTTCAATGTTGTTTTAGTCCCATGGTTCACTTTATTAGATTTACCTTTAAAATCTCCGGATTTGGCTCATGGGACATACAAAATGTCACCTCAGGAAGCCCTAGGACAGTGTATCACCTCCGACCCAGCCACCCTAAGCGAGGCCCGTGACTCAGCTGGTAGCCGGGCCCTGCAGCATCACCTGGGGTCCCCCCCATGCCCCAAAGCTGGGATAACGCTCCTCAAGTGCAGTTGCAATGTCAGCTTCCCAGGGTGGCTCCAAACCTGGAAGTCACATCACAGGCTGGAAAATAATTGTTTCCTCTGCTAGACTATCAAAGCAAGTGACGTATGCTAATGTCCTAGGCTACAGGAGTGGGGGGGGGACCTAGAGTTTAGGCAGAGCAGTTTATCCCATGTGAGCAAAAACACCGACAGGGCCATTTCTCTCTCATCTGGACTCGGATCTGTGCGGCTGTGGTGGTGAGGAGGAGATGAGCTTATATGCCAGATTTGTGATTGGTTTCCATGGCAATGGGGAGACGCAGTCTCTCCGATCCGGAGAACTAAAAGTAGCTGAAGCACTTGCTCAGCCTCCTTCCCCAGAGTCATCTGTGCTGCGAATAGCTGGGAGAGGTGCAGGAGGCATTTGGGGAGAGGAAGGAGAGCTGAGGGCTGAGCACTTGCTCTGCACCAGGTGCTGAGCTGCGCTTTTGGCAGCGCTGCCTCTCCTGAACTTGGCGATAATAACCGCCGGCCACACCTTGTGGTCTGCCCGTGGGTCTCGGGAATTTCATCAGCCTCTTCAAACTGGCTATTACCTAAGTCTTCTGCGAGGGAGCTCCCGAGAGCAGCCGTCTCCCCAGCTCAGCAGATCCCCCATGCTGGTTTCAGATCGTGCTGAAAATACCACGCTGCAAATGAGTGTCGTGGGACGGCTCCGCCGCCCCACGCCCTGGGAACATGGTGGCGGCGGTGGCTGCGCGGAGCCCCCGCGTGAGCCGTGCTGTGGCTCGTTGCAGGTGAGCGAGGCAGAGATCAACGGGCAGTTCGAGTCGGTGTGCGAATCCGTCTTCAGTGAAGTTGAGTCTCAGGCCATGGACGCTCTCGACCTCCCGGGGTGTTTCCGGACGCGGAGTCACAGCTACCTCCGCGCCATCCAGGCCGGCTACTCCCAAGACGATGAATGTATTCCCATGATGACGCCCTCCGACATCACCTCCACTATCAGATCCACAGGTAAGGGCGCCCCCTGACCTCCTGCAGGTGATGGGTCTGCATGCTGCACGGAGCGGGCACCCCGCCTCTCCTCTGCTGCCTGCTCGGCAGACGTTGGGCGACTCCTGATCGCATTCGATGCCTTGCTCCGTGTGCGTGGTGCTTCTGTCTCTTATAGATAACTTTTCTCTTTCTTGGAATGAAATCTGTTATCAAGGTGCCTTAAAATAGACACATCTAACTTTTGTAAAGTATTGGTTAGGAGAAAAAATTTAAGTGCTAACATTTGGGAGGTGACTGCATTTTAAATATCCAAGTTTGATGGATTGCAATGAGATCTCAGTGGCTATGCAGGGATGCCCGTGTCCAGCCTAAGTCTCTGACTGCTCGTGTGAAGATCTATAAACATGATTCACTGCTGCAAAGCAAATCAGTCATTAATGTAAATTTGCTAATCGTCTTAGGGCTCTAGGCTTCAGGCTCACAGTGTCCTTTAGTTCTAATGGAAAACCACCCTCACCCTTTTGAAGATTTACCACCTAGCATAAACATCCCTGCCTGATCTCACTGCATTATTATTATTTATGTAACACTATGAATATACATGGCCCAGAGAAACCCATAAAACACAGCAAGCAGTAAAGTTTGCCTCGCCACACATAAGGCTAAGGGGAGAGGCTATAAAAGAACACAGTGCTGAAGAGTGAGCTATTCTGAACATCATAGGTTTGGAATGCTTCGGACATAGCAGGGAATTGGAAGGACAGCTAGGGGAGAAATAGAACAAACTCTGCTCACATAAATGGCATTGGGAGTAGAAGACGTGTGACAGGAGAGGGAGGTTTGGGAAGGGGGGTAGCAACACACCAGGAAGAGATCTTGTTCCGTCTCCATGCCAAAGTGAGCAAGGATTCCAGGAGACAGCACATTGCAGAATTTATGCCGCGCTGTCGGTGAGAGGGAAATAGTTTGAGAGGGAAATAGTTCACAGGGGAGTCTGCAGATTGAAGAAAATAAACTGGATTCACACAAGTTCCATCAGCACATCACGGTAAGATCTTGGTCTTGTTAACTTCTTCAACTCTCAGTGTTTGAGGTGTTCCAGCGAAGCAGCAACCTTGGATGATTGATTCAGATAAGCTGAACGGTTATTTTTCAAAGAAAGCTGCGGACGTTCGGTGTTCTTTTCATGTGGCTTCTTTTCCCCTGAGCAGAGGCTTTCCGAATGCTCTACGACAACGGCACCTTGGGCCTTCCTGAGATGCACGTCAGATCTGGCACGCTCCGTTCTCCGCACGGTTTGTGGGGACAGAGGGCAGATGGAGGGCCTGCCGCCGCGTGAACCCCATGTGGCTCTGAACACTGACCGTCCGGGCGCCGCGGCCACGGGGCAGAGTGTGGGCGGTGGGGCGCAGCCTCTGGTTGTCCTCTTAGGGGGCCTGTTCTACCCACTCCCGCCCCTTGGTGAATTTGTGGACCACCTCTGCCCTGACGAGAAAGGACAGCGTGAAAATAGAGCAAAGTGGAAACACAGGGAAGTAATGAGCTTTGCAATCATTGCATTAAAAAACACGTTAAGAAATCATATTTGTTTATTGCCTCTTATGAGCAAGTGAACAATTAGGCACTTTCATGGTCTTCAGAAATGCTTGGAAACAATAATTACCTAGTAGAAGATGACTTTATTGTTTTTAGGGCCTTCATTACAGACAGAATAAAAATAAGACAGATTTCATGGAGATAAAAACCAGTGCCGTGCTCAGACCAAAACCCTAACTCATTGAACTATGACACTCTACAGTTTTACCATGTGCATTTGGCATTCCAAAATGTGCACTAAATAAATTGCCCCGAAATGCTTCTATCTGGTGTTTCTGCTGGATCTTGGCCTGCTTGTTTAGTGGGACTTCCCTCTCGACCACGTGGGGAGCGTGGGTGTTGTGGAGCCAGCTGTGATCAGATTAGGGAGAAACAGAGAGCGCAAGGAGATCCACTCAGTCCTGTCCAGTTACAAAGTGCCTTTTTGAAGAAATATAAGTACAAATTCATCATTAATCTCTCTCTTTTCCTGTTTTACTCTAAGTATTGTATATTAAATATTTATAATCTTTCTTTACTAAATAAGATTTAGATGGCAAGTCATATAGTCTATTTAATAAGATTATGAAAAATACCAGAGAAATGAAAAACCCCTGTCTGGAAAAACAGAAGTACAGAGGAAACGGAGAAACCTATCACAACACAGAGGTGGAAAAGCCTAAATAATGGTGATAGCTAAACTTCAAAGTTGATACGGAGCTTCCGGTCAGCAAGGCAAATAGAATTCAATAATTTTCCACAAAAATACTTCCTACCTTTGTATTTAAATACTTGGAAATCTATATGCCAACAGTAACAGTTAATCGCTATCTTCTGTCGACATACGTGCTCCTGTGTGAGGGGGGAGAGAGAGAGATTACTTTGACAAATTGAGTATTTTATGGTTCTGAAACTCGCTCTTGAAAATAAATCCAAGATGTTTTCAAAACCATTCCAAAGTGATTATTTTGAAGAATAACATTCATTTAAGCATGTTCCTTTGTGCAAGCTTGAAAAAGTTGGTGTTATTATCAGATCATCTTGCCTTGTATAAATGCAAACATGTAATTTTACCATTCATACAATAATAAATTCAATATCAAATGTATGCATGAACAATTCATTAAAAATTTAAAAATATGTATCCGACAATCTATTTGGAACATGGGCAGGTTGAGGGTGCAGCATTTGCTTGCTTGGGGGACCGGAGTGCACCTGTGTTTTCGCTGGGCCTTAAAGGCAGCTGGTGATTGAGCTGCCGGAACAGGTTCTTTCAGTCTGATCTCCAGGAAGGAGTGCAACGGGGAGCAGAAGACGCCGTTGGACAGCACCACCCATGATCCCAAACGTTCCTCCATCCAGCTGTTTCTTCCATTATGAAAAACAGTACGTATTGATTAGCTTCCTCTGGTGTAATGAAGTGGTTTTGAAAACATCTAACTTTTATTTCACACCTGGTTTCCTTCTCATCTGCGAAATGATTTATCGGATAGATTTACTTATCTAAATATGCATTTCACCCGATTCCTCTAGGGAGGGAATATTACTGATACTGTGAAGGAAAATGGTACCAAATTCGATTATAATGACTTTCCTCCGGGTCAAAAATTGTCTTAACATATGACACCGCTGATTCTAGAAGCCATTAAAACAAAGGGAAAATCTATACAGAGCACGACAGAAAAAACAGCCGTAGACTTATTTGTATTTTATTATTTGTGTTTCTGTAGCAACTTATCTCTCAAGGGGGCATAAAAATTCCATCTTCCAAGATAGATATTTACTACCCGATAGGAGGAAAGATAGCTCTATATTTCTGTGTTTTCCATATTGGAGTAAGGAAAACCAGTTTTCAATACCATGATTTTCGTTTCTGTTTTACATTTTACTTCTTTATTGCCCTGTTCCCACCTGAAGAAATATGACTGTGTGTTTCATCCTCCCGCTTCTGCTCTTGTAGAAACAAAAGACCGTGTTTTACATGATGCTGTCTTTTTACGACGGTGGGTTTTCAGGTGCGTGAGCCTGTTCTGTTTCTCTGGAAAGCCCTGACGGACACCATACCCTTAAAGGGTATTTCTTCAGGCTCTACATTTAACGTGGTTGGAGGATTTACTCGGAGAATTCTCGCCATCAGCACTGCACCCGGAGAAACAGCCTGAAAATTAAAAAGCTACGCCGGAAATGTCAATCCTTTTGGCCAAGTTGGGGAAGTTTCACTAAAATGAAAGATGCTGTCACGGATATCGATGGGCTCTCTGTAAACAATCTAGCAGATGTCTAAATGTGCGCCAACTACGCATCCCTAAAGCGGGCAACAGTAAAGCAAAATACATCATATTGATAAAATAAAAGTATCTGCAAACCCATTTGTCTGAGAGAGCCCGTGGTGCAGACTGTGTCCCCGTGGGGGCGGCGCTGGCCTGTTGCAGGACCACAGGCCGCTGGCAGAGGTGCAGGTCCTGGGCAGCGAGCGCCACCTGCCCCCTAAGGTGCACAGCTCCCTGTGGGCTGTGAAGTCGGGGCCTGAAGCCCACCCCTGCTGCGGCCTGGGCTGCGGACTAGACGGGTAAGCCCGGCCCCGGTGGGCAGAGCCAGAGGGCAAAGGAAACCACGGCCAAGGGAGACCTGGGGAAGCCTGGACCCGTCACCACAGAGAAGAGCGAGAGGCCGGAGCCCAGGAGCAGAGCCAGAGGAGAGCGGCGTTGCAGAAACAAGGGCGGCAGCGGTCACGAGGCCCCAGGCTCCCACGCGTCCCGTGCAGCCCAGGGCCCAGGAGCACTGACCTTGCTGCGGCTGAACGCATGTGGCACCAGGGACAGCGGCGCCCTCACCTGGACAGGTCCTCCGTGCACACCTGCAGGAAGGCACGGGAGCAAAGTGCAAACCCCCTGGGGAACCTTCCAGAATTCGCTCACACATTCGGGCTCCTAGAACGAGGATGGGCTGAAAAGGGCATCTTCACTTTCTCCGACGTCTGACTTTGACTTACAGCTCGCTTCCCTGTGGACGCAGGTGACAGAACGTGCCTATCAGCATCGGTCTCTGGCCTTCATAGGAAACAGGACTTACCAAGAGCTGCCTCCGAATCCAGCCCCGCGGCGTAGGCTCTGCATCGCCACGGAGCTCCTCTCCAAAGCCCTGCTGCCTGGAGCATTAGCTCCATCTTCATTCCGGTCGCACGCACCTCAGCACACACGTGTGGAGTTAAGAGACGTCTGCGCTGCTTTCTTTTTAAAAATAATCCCACAAACCTGTGCTAACTGAGTATCCAGTTAGGCTCTTGGTTTGGGCAGAACAAGAGGCTGGTTCTCCATACACTGAGGCTCCCTCCTGAAGACTTGAGCAGAGTAGCCCTGGGAGGCACGTTACCGTGCACGTTTTAGTGGCTTATTTGGTGCGTCACCAGCCTCCCGCACGCTAGAACCCAAGCACCGTGGAGG